CAGTTGATTTACAAAAAAAAAACATGAGTATAGTTCTAAAAGACAATCACAAATAGCAAACGAGTATGTATTTAAAGAGGTCATTTCTTGCTATGCCCAAACTCTCCGGCATGTGATAATTGCCAATTACTTCAATTATACAAGTGTAGAAAAGTATTCCACGCACACAAAGCAAGTCGCCCTCCCGTTGAAGTACAGCGGGCTAATGATGCCTGCATTGACATCTAGGACTTGTTCACCTATAGAAATGTGTTTCGGACAAAAATGGAAGCTGTGTTTCATTTTCTGTAAGCAACCTCAATAAGCTGCCAACCTCTAGACACGTGTTCAGAAATCAGTAAATCATTTTCCAGAAGACAGGCAGAGTGAAAATAAATATAGCTTTGTCATATCTTGCTATTTTTTGACAAACACACATTGTACATCTCCTCGCCCTTGTGGGTCTGTGGCTCAGCTGTTGCTAGTTAATTGACTAAGAGGTTTTTCCACGGGGCTTCAGTCTTTGATCCTATGCTTCAGAAAATATTTATAGTTTGTTGCTCTTGACTTATCTGCTAATATCTTCGCCATACCTTATAGGTGTGAACTTTATGTAATTAATTACCATACAAACTTCCAAGATTTTCCCAGTTTTCAAAAGTTCAATAGGAATGATTCTTTAATAACAACGGGAGAAGAACAAAGAAGATTGTCATCTTGTGTTAGAACAGAGGCAACAACCCAGACATGGCAAAGGTATCAATGATGGGGAGTTCTAAGCCACATAACATGAATATATTTTAGACCCCCATTCGTTTCAGAAATGTAAAAAATACCTTTTTACTAAATTGAGTAAATGTGTCCATCTGGAATCACATTTGCTTGTGTGCACACCCTTCAATTCTCATTTGTACATGCATATGTGCAAAAATGTTGTTCCGTGGTATTTTTAGGAAATTAGCATTCTGATTATAGCATACAAGGTCCTTTATCTAACAGGGCATCCTAAACATTCATTATATGGCAAAAATGCTCGGAACACTCAAAGAAATAAATTCAAATATAAATCTAGCACACAATAAATTATGGCTTTATAAGAACAGTAAAGCCACCAATCATGGATGATAGAAAATCACCCCCATACCTAAATGTTTCCTTTTCCACCAGAGGGCATCTAGCTCGCTGGTTATAGCCTAGTAAAAATTCAATGAAAATTACTAGACTTGTTTGTTGTATGAGGACTAAGTATATAAGTAAATAGTCTAGGTTTATTACTCTGCAAACTTACTTTGATGACTTTATTCCAGCAAACTAACAGTTATGGGAACATTTTTGGTTATTTCTATCTTTACATGCCTTAGTGGAAGAGGTATAAAGAAAAAGACAGGATGAAGAAAAATTGTTCTCTGGAATCCAATACTATGAGTCAATTATCCTCCTCCTCTTCCTCCTCTCTTCCACCTCCTTTCTACCTCCTCCCCACTAAGCTTTAATCTCTCATATCTACTGGTAAGAATGAACAAGCAAAAGGATGATGAGGTAGAGGAAACAGAGATGAGACTCTCCTAGGCACACCGCCCTACGCGTCAAAAGAGACAGCTGCTGGAAAGTGGGACAGAGAACAGGCACAAGGTGTTTTGTTAGTGATTTCTACAGCTCCAGATGAACAATTCAGTAATGAGAACGCTGTGTTCATCGCTTTTCTTATCCCATGACCAAATACCTAACAAGAAGCAACTCAAAGAGGAAGGGCTTAATCAGGTTGCTAGTTTGCGGATGCGGTCCGTCATGGCGGCAGGAACAGGAGGTGCTTGCTCACATTGCACCCACGGTCAGGAAGCGGAAGATGATGAATGTCTCCGCTAGCTTTCTCCTTTGCATTCAGACTGAAACCCCAGCCCATTCAGGGAGTCATCCCTCCTGCTCAGTTAACTTTCTCTGAAAATTCTCTCAGACCTCCCCTGGAGGTGTATCTTCTAGGTGATTCTAAATCAAGTTGACAGTCAAGATTGACCACTGTACACTCTGAGAGAGTCAGTGCAGATGGCTGCTGGGCATTGCCTGGGTCGCAAAGGGAGAGAGCTGGCCGGCACAACTATCATCTGTAGTTATGAGAAAGATGGTGTTGTATAAAGTATAATTATGTGATAAATCATTTGGAGGCATTTCTAATGAAAAACATTCACTGGGAAAGATTACCCAGAACTTGTGTGTCCACCGTCTGAAGCAGTTTGTAGCTCTTGGTCCTAAGCCCTCATAAATCTGAAGGGAGCTTCTGTTTATCGATTTTATTTGCAGAACACACTCAGGGTATAAAGTAATTTGATTTTTTTTTAAACAGGGTTTAGGGTCTGCCCCAACAGGGTTATAACTTACTAAGCATAAAAGCCAACACATAAAAACAAACATACAATTTAAAGAGAAAGGGGCTCGTGCCAGCCGAATCTGCGAATCTGGAGAGGTAGTGGGAAAGCTCCCAGGCACACCCACACTCCGTCTCTCTGCTGGGCTGAAATCTCCTGGTGGGTGATATTTTGGATGCCTCTCATGCATGGCGTTGCTCAACTGTTTTGAGAGGGGGGAAAACACATATAAATCCCACAGAGAAGAACATGGTGGTTGTTTAACAAGTACAAGGGGTGGGCAGAGGGGAAAGAGCCTTCTATGCAGTTTGCCAGAGCTCAGAATAATTATGGGAATGCGAACCATTTTTCTCAGCCTCTGTGAAATCTGTGCTTTTCCCATCAAAAACAGCCACTCAGCCTGGTCGATGCTGCTAATGTTATCCTTGATCCAGCCCCACACGTGTGTACAAGCTTTGCAGCTTGCAGGCTGTAAACTGGAGGAGAAACGGTGTCTAGTGTTTTTATGTTTCTTTTGCACAGATTCTTCTTTTTTAACGCTAAGCAATTGTGGATAATTAAATTTTTATTGAAGAATTTTTTTCTTTAGCAATCCCATTAGGGCTTTGCTGAATTTGTCCATTGCCTCATAAAAGGGAAAAAAAAAAAAAAACCCTGCCACATCTGTGCCTTAACCATTCTGTGCATATTTTCTCAGCTCCATGGTTTATGGGATGCATTCATGACCAGGAAACCCCATACTTGGTGTCATAAATGCCAAGGTTGGTAAAATCAAGGTGAAGACTATGCCTTGCTTGGGGACAGCAATGAGAAAAAAGAAATGGTGAAGGACTGACCTCTAGGTCACAGCCACAGGGTAGATAATGAATGGCCTTTGTCAGACTTTCTGGTGTTTGCATAACCACCACAGCTAAGGACCCCGAGTATACAGGAACTTCTGGACTCTGCTGTGCAGTGCAATTGCCACCACTTCAAAGAGGCGCGAGGGCTGGGAGTCACTGGGAAGACCAGTGGTACACCTGGCAGGCCACAATCAGAACGCTTTGAAATGGGGTCCTAAAGCCAAAGCGTCAAAGAACACCACAGGCTTCTTGAATAGCAGCTGTGGCTACAAACGAAAGGGCAGTCACAACCTGTTGGGAATAAGCCAGTGGCAACCTCTGGTACATTCGTGTTAACGGGAGAAATATCACCACCCATGACAGCACCTTTGAAAAGGAATGCAAGGCTTCCTCTGGGCATCATGCCCAAAGCAGAGCTGGGACTCCTCATTGAGAAGGACCGTGCCTGACCTTTTTACTCAGCTGTTTCTGTCCACAGCTCTAAAGACCAACCCACTTCATTCTCTATGAGCCTCCATGTTCACACCCCACTTCCCATCTTCTGTTCATCTCTGTGGAATGGGGGAAACTCTGCAGACATGCATACTACTGATATCTGAGGACTAACAGCTACAGAGACCACCCTGGACCAAGCACAGGGCCAAGGCAGGGCCTGCCATGCGTCATTTCATCCTTAGAGAGAATCTGGGAGTGCAGAGGAGACCCTGAGAGGAAAAGGTCTCAAATGCTCCAGATTACATACATGATGCAATAGGGCTTTGGGGAGATAATGAAAATATCCAACACTTGCGACAGTCGAAGGATGAAAACATCAACCTCCTTAAATGATCCCCTTTCTAGTTCCATAAACACCTGAAAATCGTCTCAAGTCAAATTATTCAGTACAAAACATTTTTTGAAAAAAATATTTTCACAAATTAAGTCATGGGAAGGATACCTTTGAAAGTGGCACTTGGACATTTTAAATATATTTTCTTTTGTAAATGAAAGCATTTGGTAAATTTCTTTGAAGCTAGCTGGAAAGGTGATTAAACCGTCACCTTCTAACACGGGCAGCATGGTCCGGGAGCATGCTGTTCAAACAGGGCTCTGATATATGGCCGAGAATCGTGCTACTGTATAAGCGAGGAGGAGCAGAGCTACACAAACACCAACAAAAGCCAGGTGGAAGGAACAGAGGCAGAAGAAACGGGCTGGCCCTGAATCTGAAGAATTTCTCTGAGGCAGTATGGCTCATGGAACCATCTGCCTCAATATTACCTGGCTTCTTACCAAACATACTCTTCGTGGATCCCAGCCAAAGAATCTGCAATTTAACAATCTGCCTAATGATTTTATACACAGTAATATGGGTACTATCGATCTAAACTTGAGTAACTACTTCAGCGTACGCTGGAGACTAAGGAAAGAAGATGCCACAGAGCAGAAGAATCTGGAAGACAAGGGAGGAAAACTGTGTCCTTTGTACTTTCCAATAGGGGTTGGCATGTCCCGAATTCAAGAGACAATATGAACCCCTGAACCAGTGCCTGTTTATACAGGGGCAGGGTCACAAGGGACAGGGGCACTCTCGTGATACAAAGCACTGCTGTGTCTTCCGCACTAGTTTCTGAAAGGCAAGGGTCAGAGATGGCAATGTTTGGGAAACTTCATCTTCAACAGTGCTTTGTCCCTTCCCTGTCTTCATTTAAACCTTCTTTGCAAATTGAATTCTAGTAGGAGAAATAAATCAAGCTGTTATGACTTTAATATAAATTTTATTATCTATAAAAATGGCAAGGTTGGACAAGACATTAGTCATAAATGACCCTTTTGAAAGACTTTTTTGAATATACTGTCTTATTTTTCTTTCATTAAAACACACAATGTAATTGTTGCCTTTTTTTTTACATATGCCAGACCTCCAGCCCTGTCCAAGACCATGTAGGCAATAATCAACATGACCGTTTATTCATTCCTTCAGCAAAGGTATAGTCTTTTTCTACTTACACCCGGACCTAGGATGAGAAAACGGAGTCAACAGTCCTGATCCTTCTGTGAGGGAAATTTACACTCTATCCACAGATCCAAGAAGATGCTGATGAAGTTCATCTGACCAAAGCCCACTGTATCATAAACCCCTCTGCTAATTTGCACAGTTTCCTCCGGCCTCTCTCCTCTTGGGTCCCTGGCTCCTGTGATTCTGGGAATCACGGGGCTCTGGGAATCTTGGCGGGAGCAATGTGCCGGAAGCAGGAAGGATGCAGGAAGTGGACACAGACAAGAAGATAAACAAATAACCTTGCCACCATGTCTGCTTCCTAATTGCTAGGCCTGTCATGGCTTCCTGCTGGTCTTGCCTGGGTAACACTCTCCTTCTCTTACCGTACCTGCAGCAGCAGCATTGGCGTGTTCTTCTGTGGACCCAAGGCCATGTCGAAGACTCTTCAAAAGATGTGCCGCTTGTATTCCTCAGCGGACCCTCGGGGTGTTCACTTCTACTACAACAATGAAAGCTTCTAGATGCTGGAGGTAAACAGAAGACACTGTGCAAGCGGCTGCAATCAAAGAGGTCACGAGTCGGGAGATTTTATCCCCAAAGGGCCAAACAGCAATCATTTTAGCTTTATGAATAGTATGGGTTTAGCCTAATCTACTCAACACTGTGGTTCCAAGATGCTAAAGTAGCCACAAATGAGAACACATCACAACTCAGGCTAGCTGAGTTCTTTTATCATCAGAATTTACTTAAGGCCACTGAAGGTGAATGTCATATAATATTTTCTCCCATGGAATTTGTATTTTTGATCATTTAAAAATGTAAAAGTCGGGATGGGGCATATAGGTGAGTGGCCAAGCACTGAACTAAAATGTGGAAATCATGGGTGTTTAAATGTAAAACGTGGGCCAGATCGGGCCTGTGAAAGGTAGACATAATGTTAATCAAACCATGGTTATAACTGGGTAGAACCTCTGACGTTTTTCTACCTTGTATGACAGACACATTAAAACTAAATTTCGTGTTTGCTTTTCTCTTTTTCCTTCCTTCCTTCCTGATTTCCTTCTCCCTCTCTTTTAACAAACAGTTATAGCTCAACTAAACTTCTGTCCCATAAAACAGCTAAGACTGTTATTGAATTTTCACTGATTTAGCCTTTCCACGCCATGGTGCTGGTTGCAAAGCTCACATCTTAGAGTTTCTCCACACCAGTGTTAATGTTTTATAATCATCTCATCAAATATATCTACTGATTTGAAAATTACTGAGCCCCAGACAGCAACAAGTAAATGCATTAGTGGCATATTAAGCCTTTTATTCTGGCTTTATATAGAAATTATTGACTTCAGAGGATGCCTTTGACATCCCTACACCTGTTAATATCAGTGTCCAGCTAAAACTGCGTAACGGCCAGCATTGGGGACTGTACACCACACCCTTAGCTTCTAGGTAATACATCATAGGCAATGGAAGAAAAGCATTTGCTACAACTAAGACCAGATTATGCTTTTGAATGTTTCTTATCACCGTGGGGCGTCATAAAAGAAGTGAATTGGCCTGACATGCTTTGATTTTACAAAATCATTTAGCTACTTAAATTTTTTCATGTATTTCTAAAGTACAAATTGATTATTTACTTTCTATTATCAATTTTTTTAAAATTTTGACTATAAATTCAGTCATATTGGGTAGGGTGTACTTATACAGTTGGGTATATTCAGTAATATCTCACATATAATTTCTACTTCCTCTGGTAATTTCTCAGTATCTAGATAGATAGATAGATAGATAGATAGATAGATAGATAATTATTTAAACACTAGTTGAACACATTCAGGCATGCTATGCAATTGTTTTCCCATTTAATCTTGATTCAACCATTACTGTTAGAAATTTTTAGAGTCAAATCTAACCTTTTGCCAGAAAATCAAGTACATTATTATTTTTTCCTCTTAAACATAGTCAGTACTTTTCTTTCTTTGTCTATTAAAAAATAAATTGTACTATTTGGTCATCCAATTTTGTCTAATAAAATAAAACTTTCTGGCAGAATATATAAAATCCAATTGTTTGTTATTTCTGGAAATACTGTTCAACTTTTTAAATATATATGTGCATATATATATATAATGAGATTCTTGCCTATTCAAACATAGAAATATAAAAATCTGATTTCTGTAATGTTGCAATAACCAAATTAAAAGGAAAATAATTTATTCAAAATAAAAACATTCCACAAAAATTATTCAAGGTAATTAGATACATCAATAAACATAAATAGAAAGACGTGCAAATGGGCACAGGTAGTATTAACTAAATTTGAATATTAAACATTCTGAAAACATCAATTTATTCCAAATTAATTTCTATGCCAAATTAAAGGCCAATTAAATTAAAATTTTCTTGATTTTGATTTTAAATGATATATACGCTAAAGTTTATTTGAGACAGTATATAGGAAAAAAAGAAAAGCAAAAAGCTTACGTGGGGAAGAAAGCTAGAAACTGGGAAGGAAAAGGAAAACAAAACTGGACAAGATAAAGGAAGGAGAAGGAATGAGAGGAGAGGAGTGGGAGAGACAGGAGGGGAGAGAAAGAACAGACAAGGAAGGTGGGCAAGGAGGAAACTTCCTGTGTATGGAGCAAACCATCCCAAAGGGGGAGTCCCCTAAAGCCACCAAAGAGGAAAACTGTATTATTACCTGCCTGTGAACAACAATCAGTGTGGCCACAGCCTCCTCAACAGCTTCCCATGTTAAGAATATTCTGTCTTGCCGGGCAGTGGTGGCGCATGCCTTTAATCCCAGCACTCAGGAGGCAGAGGCAGGCGGATCTCTGTGAGTTCGAGGCCAGCCTGGTCTACAAGAGCTAGTTCCAGGCCAGCCTGGTCTACAAGAGCTAGTTCCAGGACAGGCACCAAAGCTACAGAGAAACCCTGTCTCTAAAAAACAAACAAACAAACAAAAAAGAATATTCTGTCTTAAAAGTACCTTCGGGCCCTGGGAAATTCACTTCCCAAAATGAAGGCAAAAGACAGACTTTCCGGACAGAACCCTCCCTCTCCAGAGCAACTGCCAAAGGAGATACTCACTTCAGGAGGGAGGAAGTTCAGTGTGCAAAGATAAGCCAAGGTAAAAAGCAAAAAATATGTTTCCTCAGAATCTCAAAATAGCGACTGCAAAGAACAATAAAAGATCAGTCATAAATAATTGTGTGGGGGTAGGGAAGGGGTAGAGGTATGTGGGGGCTCCCCGCCATGTCTTTTGAGACAGAAGTTAAAATCACACACCCCAGTACTTAGCTTTTTCCCATGGGTGCCAGAATCCAGAAAGAATACTTTTAAAATATAGAAGTGAAATACTGGATATCCTCGGCTTGTAAGGTAGGAGGACACTGGAATCCAGCATCCTGTGGTCCTTTCGTTGTTTGCGAAGGTAAAACTACTGTGTGTAGCCTCTGCTATATTCTGTAAGGAAATGATGAGGGGACCTGGAATGGCCCACTGCGCGCACTACAGCGACGCGATCCATGAGTTTTGGTTGAGACTAAGCTTTTCAATAATTTCTGGGGTGACCAAGGAAAGTGTGAAGACTGTCTCTACTTCAGCTTACGCTTGAGACTACTGGTAGTTTCCATTTCCACTCAACTGATCTTCGCCGCTCTGCTGTTCTTGGACCACGTTCAGTCCCCCTAAGGCTTCTGCATACACCGCTGGCGTTTTCTTTCATTTGTATGGCTGTGGTGAAGTATGGAGCTATCTCTTTCTCCCGCTGAGCCAATCTCTCCAGCCCCTCTTTCTCTCCACTTTATAACTTACATTTTTATTTTTGGCCTGGGTGGCTAAGTGATTCTTTTATCTTAAAAACTCAGAACATTTGACGAACATTTCATATAGCTATTTTGTTATACTATGTTGTGTGAGAGGTTTCCTTCACCTGAAGCAATTTTCTTATATTAGATCTGTGAATACGTTGGTATGTCCTTTGTTTCTTCCTTTTAGAACGGTCAATTATTTTAATAATGGATTCTTTTCCATTCTGTTCATTGTTCTAGTGATTACAATCTCTTTGTATCTTTTATTTACATAATTTCCCCCAAACTTTAACTGGCCCAAATTATTACTGTTGGATCTCAAACTGGTTCCTGTTTTAGAAAACAGCAAATAAATAGATGGTGTGCTATATGATATTGCCAGTAGAATCTGGGCACTATTCAAAGGTGGTTTTTTTCCCAATGAAAACTATAAATCTTAGTATTCAAGTTCAGTTGAATAAACAAAAATTATAAACAATCTCTTCTCTATTTAGGACACATTATGCCATGAAACGTAAATAGATGACAAACACAGTCTCTATTTTCATCGTTTTTTACATTTTGAGTGTTCAAATTTGGGCTTGTAATTAATCTTGCAATGTGCAATGCTGTCTATTGTCTCTGAAGTTTGCAAATGTTAAAATCAGCTACATAAAGACGTCACCTTCAGCCTTGATTTGCTACCTTGGGCCTCAGTGTCCCATTGGCTTTCAACCTGGTCTGTTCACTTTGCTTCTTTCAAAACTTGGTCCTTGGTGAAGACTGCTCGTTGGTTTCTCAGATGCCCAGATTCAGATAATAACTTAGAGACTATATTAATTACAACACTGTTTGCCGATAGCTTATGCATATTTCTAGCAAACTCTTACATCTTAAATTAACCCATTTCTATTAACTGTGAATCACCACGCGCAGTTGTGGCCTACCTGGTAAGGTTCTAGCTGACTGCTCACGTCTTTCTCCTTTGTCAGCTATGTGGCATCTCTTTGATTCCACCTACTCTCTATGTATCTCTGTTCGGATTTTCTGCCTGACTTTATTAATCCATTAGCCAAAACAGCTTCTTTAATAACCAATGGTAATAAACATATTTGTAGCATACAGAGGGGAATCCCACATACCTCTACCCCTGCCCTACCCCCACACAATTATTTATGACTAATCTTTTATTGTCCTTTGCCCTCTCCTCGGCCCTTGCCTTTCTTGTATTAGTAGTTTTTCTCAACTCTGCCCCAAATCCCTGACAGAACCAACCCAAGGGGTGAAGGCTTACTTTGGCACATGCATCCTGAGACTCCATCCATCAGAGTGGTGGCGACGTGGTGGTAGAGCCTGCTCCTCCATGGCAGAAGTAGCTTCTGGCAGCAAGTCTTCCCACGGAGCAGTGCAGAAGGCAGAGAGGGCATAATGACCCCAGAAGCCAACAGAACCTTCAAGCTCCCTTCCCCACCATGGGCTACTTTCACTAGCCAGGCCCTTCCTTCTGAATGCCCCACCACCCTCAAAATAGCCCCACAGGCTGGGAAACAAGGGTTCACAACATGAGCCTGTAGGTGAGGTTTCAGAGTCAAACTATCACGCTTCTTCCCGGCACGAGTTGTCGAGCTGTATTAGATTACATTGTCCTTCATCTTCTTTATGGGCCACCGCGTGCAGCTCTCAGAGGGGGAATGCCCACAGCCTTCTCTTTATCGCACACTAACTGGATTAGCATCTCCACAACTGTGGCTATTCTCAAGCCCCACGATGGCCTCCATCCAAGACGTAAAATGCAGCTGCTGGAATCAGCTCCATCCCAGAAGTAAAACCAGCTGCTGAAATCGTGGCCAGTTTACTTTCAGGCGTAATTCATGGACGTCTGTGACATAGGCCTCTCTCCGCTACCATCTCTCATACCTCTGCCCAGGTTCAAAGTATCACTGTGTCTCCAGACTTGGTCCTCTCCTCCTTCTCTGTCTATTCTCTTGACTTGAAGATCTCAGACACCATCTGTCTAGGGATGAAACCCAAAAATAAAGCTCCAACATAGACATCCCCCTCGATTCTCCATGACATCCCAGCTATGGTTTCAGCACTGAGGCGAATAAGTATCTCATGTTCTTACACGAAGAAGTAAACTCCTTTTCTTTTTCAACTTACAATTCTGTTCTTCCTCCAGTCTCTATTATTTCAATTACAGCCACCATCATCTGCCAGCAAGCATAAGCTAAACACATTAAGAACTGCTAAGTCCTCTTTGTCTCCCCTAGATCCCTCAGCGGTGACTCTGAGCCTTGTTCAAGGTCATCATCTTAACGTGTTATTTATTTCTGATTTCTGATAACTATTTCAGAAAAGCATAGGTTGTGTGTTCTTGGCTTGCAATAAGCAGGATCAATACTTCTACATTAATACTATTAATCTGTCTCATCCAAACGTAAGCAACGCCATTAACACATTGCTATTTTTTAATTCTTTTAAGATTATTTTTAATTCTTTTAAGATTCATTTATTTTAGCCACAGAGAAACCCTGTCTCGAAAAACCAAAAAAAAAAAAAAAAAAAAAGATTCATTTATTTTGTCTATGGTGCTCCAGTAGCATGTACACCTGCTCACCAGAAGAGGGCATCAAATCCCATTACAGATGCCTGTGAGCCACCCCACCAGTAGTTGCTGGGAATTGAACTCAGGAGCTCTGGAAGAGCAGGTTCTTAACTGCTGAACCCTCTCTTCAGTCCCTAACACATTACTATTGTATCTCCTTTTCTTCCCATTCTTTCCTGTCAATTCTGTTGTTTTCCTAGTGATTTTTATGAGAAAATCCACAGCCCTCCAAGTTTTTTCCTTCCCGTTTTCTTCCCAAACGAACAGAAAAGAGATTGCTATAAAAGGGGTTTTTTGTTGTTCTTTATTTGGTTTAGTTTTGTTGGTCTCTTTTTTTTTTCATTAAGTTTCAAACACTTTCAAAAAAGCTGTTAAACATCTCCCCATTGTTTTCCAAGGCAGCAGTGTATTAATGATACAGGATCAGTCTAGTTATTAAAATGCCTCAACCTCCAACTATGGAAATGTCGGTCATTGCATATTTTATAAGTATTTTCTGCCATCCTCTCCAAATCGCCAATCAAATTTCCTCAGAAGGCAAATTTACTTTTAAAGAAAATGCTTAGATGTGTAAGAACAATTCTTACAATCAATACACATAGCAGAATAAATTAAACTTTTACAACAAAAAGGATGAAACTGTTCCTCCACCCTGTCTGTGCATACTACTTTGAATGGAGGTGTTACTCAGTTACTGTCCCAAACTCTGCCTCTACCCTGCCAACAGCGTCTGTCCTACACTTAAAAGCTGTGTACAAAACGGGGTCAAAACCATGATGGGGAAACCCACAGAGACAACTGACCTGAGCTAGTGGGAGCTCACTGACTCTGAACTGACAGCTAGGGAACCTGCACAGGACCAAACTAGGCCTTCTGAATGTGGGGGACAGTTGTGTAGCTGGGGCAGTCTGTGAGTCCACTGGCATGAACTGGCTTTTTGGAGCTCATTTCCCTTGGAGGGATACCTTGCTCAGCCTAGATACAGGGGAAAGGGGCGTGGTCCTGCCTCAACTTGATATTCCAGACTTTGTTGGCTTACCCTTTCTGAGGAGTAGATGCAGGTTGGGGGAGTGGGGCATTGAGGGTGGGAGTGGGAGGAGAGGAGGGAGGGAGAACTGCGGTTGGTATGTAAAATGACAAAAAAACTTTTAAATTAAAAAAAAAAGGTTTGCAGAGGCTAGAGAGTGAAACTTTTGGGGTTGGGTTTGTGTAAAGAAAAAGGAAAATAGAGGAAAGGAATCTTGAGTCTATTTGTGAGGTCTGGGCGTGTTCCCAGGAGAGCAGTGTAATACATCAGTTCAAGACAGCACAACCAAAGATTTGAGAATTGAACGCTAGTTAGCATCACTGCTTGAATTTTAGATCAGCATATGGTTGACAAACAGTGGAGCATATCAAAATGACATTGTAATGCCCTTGAAAATTAAGTTGACATTTTGTCCTGAAAGCCTCCAAGTGAGCAGGGCTGTGTATTCTTAACCTACTGATAACGACCATCTCTAACAGAAGGTCTAAATCAGAGTGTCATAACACTGTTCTCAAACTGTCTGGAGAACAGTCCAACAGTTCTGTCATACAAAGACGTGGGGAGCTCAAGTCAGGAAAAAAATCAGATATCAACACCAAGGTAGCACAAATATGAGGAAAAGAATTACAGGACAGTTATCATTAAAACATTCTAACCAGCAATTAAAATCCCTGGGAAACAAGTGGAAAATAGTCTCAGCAAAGAAGGGACGGAAAGAACCTAATGTAGGTGTTAGAATTTATACCAATGGAAAGACTCACAGACAGGTGTAACAGTAAGAAGAATGTCTCCAAAAGATGTCCCCATCCCAATCCCTCAAACCAACGGTATGTGATATCCCACTGCAAAAGTGAATTAAGATTCTAGACACAATTATGACTGCTTTGAGATTGTTCCCCAGGGATGAATGATTAGCCTTGATTAACTAGACTAGCCAAATGTCACTGGACAGTTACAAACGACAGGGGGAGACAGAACTTTCAGAGCCCAAGAAGGAGACGCAAGAAGAAAGGTGGAGGTTGGCTATGGAAACAAAGGGCACTAAAGAATGCAGAGAGCCTCTGGAAGTCATAATGCATTGTAGGAGATCGCTTGTTTGTTCCCGGCTGCCCAGACCCTAAATAACCACACAGAAACTGTATTAATTAAATCACTGTTTGGTCAATCACTTAAGTGTATTGCTAGCTAGCTCTTACATCTAGAATTAACCCATTTCTATTGTTTTATATTTTACCTCGACGCTCGTGGCCTACCGGCAAGGTTCTTGGGCAACTGTCTCTGGCAGCAGTTCCGTGGCTTCTCCCCGACTCTGCCTTCTTTCTCCCAGAATTCAGTTTGGTTTTCCCTGCCTAGTTCTGTTCTGTTCTTCTTTATTCATTAACCAATAGTATACAGAGGGGAATCCCACATCAATAAAGGAATGCATTTTTTTTCCTCTAAAAGATATAGAAATGAACAAAGACTGTGATTTTGGTCCAGTTAGGTATTCTTGGTTGACCTAAAGAAAAAAGTAATATTAAAAAAAAAACGTATTATTACAAGCTACAAGAAAATATTTTTGTTATAATAAAATGGATAGCATATAGATCAAAAGTAAGATATCACAAATGCATTAATTCTCTTCCAAACAACCAATAAATTTCAGAGTCATAAAAAGGGTTTTCATGAAACTTGACAGGCTTTTTACACATATGTGGAACAAAGGGAGAAGAATGGCAAACAAACTCAAGAAAGGTTTCCTCCAGCTTTTCTAGGGAAGGTCACATATTCTAAGCTGTGTTGGCCACATATGGCCTTTGTCACATCTATTCCTTTGACTTTGTTTATTATTCAATTCTTTAAGAATGTAAATCATCCTCGGCTTCAAGGCTATATATAACTAGCAGATGAATTGAGCCCACAGGCCATACTTTTCCTATCCCAGAATTAGAACAACATGGATACATGTCACAATCCTGAAAAGGGGGGAAAGCATTGTAGAGGAATATATTTATAAAGGAAGAATTCTATTAGATTATGTAGCAAGTAAAACAATGTCATTTATAAACATGTGCACACACATAACCAAAAGCAGATAGTAAATATCAGGAGTGATGTATAAACTAAATCACAAACCCTAATTTCATAACGTTAATGATTTCCGGTGAGATGAGTGTATAGGAACAAATGAAATAACAGAGGAGGTTTCAATAGTGTAGGTAATATTTATTTCCTAGTTTTGCTTTACAATTTGTTACATTAGCTATAACTCTGTATGAACATGATATATTTCATAGTTTTTCAATAGTCTTAAATTCTTCAGAAACAAGAAAATTATTCCCAAAACAAGTCTAGCAAATTTAAGAAAACCGAGATGAGGCTAAACATCTTTTCTGACCACAGTGAAAGTGTAAGTTAGCAAAAGAACAATCCTAGGGGATTTAGAAACCGTGGAGAGTAAACAGCAGGGTTTGTGATGTTGCACGGGTCAGAAAGGACATTTGAATGTTTTGAGACCAACGGAAAAGCAAAAAGGAAAGACGGACACACATCACACTCCAGTTGTGAGCAACAGCAGAAGCAGCGGAGAGGACAGTCTAGTGAAGTGAACAGCTGCATCAAAAGGGAAGAGCGTTTCCAAATAAGCAAGTCTCGGAGTGGCGTGCCAATGAAGAACAAAGTGAGCCTAACATGAGAAGGAAGGAAATACAAACTATTAGAACAGATGGGGTAAGGAGGGGAGGAGAGAGGAGAAAGGAAGGAGCTAGAAAACACCAGTAGAGATCAAGGACACTAAAAGCTGTTCCGGGAGGAAAACAAAATAAACAGAATCATCAAACCTTTAGTCAGACTGAGGAAGAAATAAAAGCCTCAAACAAACAAAATCAGAGGGTTGGAGAGATGGCTTGGCGGTTAAAGGCCCTTGCTACTCTCGCAGACGACCTAGGTTCATTTCCCAACGCCTGCATTGCAGCTCACAGCTGCCTGTAACATCAGTTTCCAGGGGAAGGGATGCTGTCTTCTGGCCTCCGTGGGTGCCAGGCATGCGTGTGATACCCGTACACACATGCAGGCATCACACATACACACATACACACACACACAAATAAAAATAAAAATAAACAATTCTTTAAGCAGTTAGGACTGGGAAAATGGTCATTGCAACTGACACTGTAAAAATGCAAAGGGTCATAAGAAATTGCTGTGGACGCCTGCATGACTAAATTAGATAAACTGAAGAAACAGACAGATTCCTAGAACATGCTACCAAATCAGTAGGAAGTGGAAAATCCAAGCAGTGCAATAATGAATCTTCAATAACAAAGATGATCTCTTGCTAACGTAAAACTCAGGACCTGATGGCCTTACTGTCAAATTCTATCAAACATCTCTTCTCCAAACAATAAAGATGACTAGACACTCCCAAGCTCGTTAAAAGACCAGCATTACCTTGATGATAAAAAAAAAAAAACTAGGCAAGGATGTTACAAAAATACTACAGATCAGATAGATAGATAGATAGATAGATAGATAGATAGATAGATAGATAGATATTCATAGAGTGTGTTACATAAAATATATATGGTAGTCTACTATAGAAGTTTGTGTGTGTGTGTGTCATTTAAATGGAGTTACCATACAATTAGTGAGATATTATCCCAGCCAGACATCATATGCTACCAAATAAAACCCCAGTAACAGGCATGGGTTACATATTTTTGAGTTGTTGGCCTAAGCAATCCTATAGACACCTCCCTTCACAAAAAATTACAGGTTATTGCCACTGTTGCTGGTTACCCTCCATGATCCTATCTTACCACGTGACAAAAATAACCCTCAAAGTTGACAAAAGATTTACATGTAAAACCTGAACCTGAAAGATGCCCAGAATAAAATAATGTGGAAAGTTGTAGGTTGAGTCTAAGACATTGGCCTGATAAATTATTTCAGGCAGGACTCTGTTACACAGACAACAAAAATAGACAAATAGGATTACGACACATTCAAAATAAGATCTGAGCGGCAATCCAGAGATTGGGAGACATATTTGAAAACCCTATATCCAATAAGGCACTGACATCAAAATACAGAAGGAATTGCAACAACATACTAGAAAGAATACGAATAACTTGTCTTTAAAACGGGCAAAGAATCTGAATGTGCATTTCTCAAAAGAGAAAAATCTGGTTGACTAATAGAGATACCATTTGGCCAGAAAAAAGCTGCTAGAACTGCGGGCCAAGCAGAGCCCCTGAAGAGCTGCGCTCAGCACATAAGCATTAGTGTTTCTAGAGGACACGGCCACTCCCATGAGGTAAGCAGCCCAGCAAGCAATGCGCTGGGCTGGAGATTGCAAAGGTAAGACCAGGAAGGCCAGCACAGGCGTCAGGGCACTTCCACAAGGCTGGAAGGTTCTCTAACTCCTGTAAAACTGGTCAGGGAACAAAATCCCTCAAAAAAAACTCAGTTCTTAAAAGCAGAGCACACAGGAGCCCTGGGACACAGCTGGGCTCTCGGGTCTAAGAGACTGGCACCTTCAATCCATGGGATGAAATGGCAGGGTTGTTTAAACACAGTCTGTCTTCCACGGAAGCCACGCGAGCTGGGATAAAACTAAGGCATCCAGTGGCTGGCTTAGGCTTCCTAGGCTGACTGGGTCCCTCTCCGTGATCTCTGGAAGGTCACTGAATGCCAGGGATGGAGCACCAGTTGGCAACACTGGGTCTTTCCTCTTGCCTCCCCCCCACGAGCATCAGTTGACTTCACATTGGCCGCACATTCTCCGGATTCAGAGCTGGAACGCAGAAAGACTCACAAGCTAGAGCGCCGTCGCTGTGGTTTTTAAACGGTGCATCTTTGTTTTCCAATTGCTTAAGTTTTTGAAATGCCTCCCCATCCTCATGATTAATGCTCTCCACACAGCGCAACAGCAGAGTGAGGCGAGAATTACAGCCGGTGCCAGCTCACCCAGAGGCATTCATCTTTTTTTTTCCCCCTTGGTGCCTGCACGGAGCCTGAGGGCAAGCTGACACTTTATTTTTTTTTAATAAATTAAGCTTCATTTATTTTTTTTGCCTGTGTATTAAGAACCCTGAAAGGAATGAGCAATGTCTGCAGCCTCTGATACCAGCTGCCGTGGCAGGAAGGAAGGAGGTGACAATCTCCCACAGACTCAGAATGATTGTTTCAGTGGGGCTGTGGCTAAGGGAACAAGCACAAAGATATTGTGCTGCCAGGAAAAGCAGCCTCTCTCTTCCCCCAGCCTTGCGCGACATGCTGTAACATTCAGCTTCTGGCTTAACGTGGCATCTCTGCCCAGTTTTGATTTATTCCTGCTTTTGTAAGTCACAGAGGTATGTTGCAGGGCATGCGTTTAGAGCCATTGTTATAGTTCATTGAGGAGAGAGGCTGTTATCCTCACCAGAGGACAATCTCGTGTGTATCAGGGTGAGTGACCCAGAATAAAAGAAAGGAAATTTTTTTTTTAAATGAGAGCAGGAATATAGATGTTATGCCAGAATGAAATTGTATTTACCTTGATTGAAAACTCTTTTATTATGAACATAATTTAGATCAGAATGGAAACGAGAACCTCTGGGCTCCCTGTCTGGCTGGGGGTGTTGCTGAGCGCACGGTCGCTACAATAATGTAAGTGCATATGTAATGACTGTGTTATTGTGTTTATATTCGAAAGCATTATGTTCCATCAAAGGAAATGAAAAATATCTTCAAGGGTTTGCTCAGTCAGCTTCTTTAGCAGAAAATGCTTGGAGGTGTGGAATAGTACCGTGTGACCAAAATACAGAGCACAAAGGAACCCTGCTGGCTTTTCTGATGTGGGAACCGTGAAATGCTGACCAGACCCTGGCCCTAAGATCAGTCGATATCTGGGCCTCTACTGTGATGCTGACATGAGTGCCCCCTGAGAAAAACTTGTGACCTTGTCACTCTGTGGGGGGAAGTGCTGCAGAAAACAGGAGCGCTGCCTCCAAGGAGCTTACAACACAAAGTGGGCAGGCAAAGCAGATACAGACAGATGGTTAGAAACACAAAGGGTACTGAGGAGTCAGGTAAGAAAAGTTGCTGTGCAAGCAAGTATTAGGACCTAAGCAAGTATTAGGACCTGAGTTCAAATCCTCCTACATAAAAAGCTGGGTGTGGCTACCCAGACTTGGGACTTCAGCATCATGAAAGGTGGAGAGACGGCCAGATCCTGGGAGCTCGCTGGTCAGTCAGACTAGCCAAAATGGCAGACTTCAGGTTCAGTGAGACTGTCTCACAACACAAGGTGAGGACAATAGAGGAAAGACCCTCAGCATCTTCTTC